TGGGCTCCACACCACATATACTGGGGCTCCACGCCACATACGGCAGTGTGGAGCATGCAATCATTGCGACTTCATCAATCACTTGTGAAATGACGAATACCTACAACTCCGATGCGACATTCACACACAGAACCTGTAACCCTTCCTTCACACCCGCCCACCACACCCTTCCTTCACACCCGTCCACCACACCCTTCCTTCACACCCGTCCACCACACCCTTCTTTCACACCCGTCCATCACTCTCTTTTGCACACCCTTCTATCACATCCTTATTGGCACCATGTGACCAACTTGGCGCAATGACTAATACCAACTGTAGTGCCACGTTGATATAGATAACCTTTAACGTGATGCCTAAATTGCAAAGCACAAATATAAATAATTCGGGAATCATTTTGCTTCCGTCGTGATGTTAAAGAATGTCACTATTTCTGATCACCTTCATGTTTGTATATATAGTATTGTTGTGGACTCACCTGTTTGAATGCTGGCACAAACCATCGGATATGTCTCCAGGAACACGCCCTAGCGTCGTCTGAGGTATTTGCAAAGTTTACAGAAACGTAACTGATACGGAGACGTCATCAATATTTGATATGTTGAAGATCGATACACGCACAAGGACACATTTCCAGAAAGGTCATACTGCTTTTTTTATACAGTTAGACGTTCGACCATACCTACAGTTGGTGTTGGTTTTATTTGACAACCTTAATAGTGTGGCCCTCACCAGCATATCTGTACCATGATGTCACGGTATTCAGCTTGTCTCGGGCTATGACTCTTCTCAGGGCTTAAAGTTGGCGGGGCGTACTGTAATTCTTATTTGTATTTCCATATATGTAATGGAAATAGGTCGGGGAGGGGACTGTTTCGCTGTTCGCTGTGTAGAGTTGCATCCCCTTGCCTAGCAGTCATCCTAGTATCATTGATTCGAAGACAAACTTCTACCAGATTATGAAGTCTGTCAGTACCTTATCGGTGTTCATGGGTTTCACAATGCTGCATTTCCTCCCGAAGACTGCCGTGCTAAAGGAAGTATACACTTGTAAATTGGCAGAAAACATTCCAAACAGTGCAAACTTTAGGTAAAAAAACAACTATGATACCCTTGTGAAATACATCATTATCGAATAACCATTTCTTGTGGGTTTTTTGTCATTTGTAGCCATCATCAAACATGGGGGTATATTTAATTTTGTAACTGAAATATTGTACTCGCATTAGCATAAATTATGCATGAAGTCCTTATCCATACTTCATGTATATTGCTCGGGGTCACTGAGATGTCATCTTTGAGCGACGTCTTTCTATGTAGGTTTCTTGTCTTTTACATTTCGCAATTTTGATGTGATTATTTTATCTAATGCTTTATGAAAAATAAATTTAATGCCACTGGGAACTAATAATGTAGAATGTGCGACAGAAATAATATTGAAGACGAATACCATGTCCTTCTTATCTGTACACATTTTCGATATCTCAGGAATCATTATATTCCATCGAAATATACGCCCTGTCCATAAATTAATACATTTTGTATACTTGTGTCAGTAGAAAATGACCAGCTTCTACTGACTTTGGCGACGTTTATACACCATGTACTGTCAAAAAGTAAACTTACATGTATCACGCGCCTTTAAAATACCTGTAGTTGAACTACGGGTCTTTGGCCTAAAGTTTAGGAATAAACAGACTGGTTGGTCTTTTACAATTATAGTTTTGTTGTTGATAACAACAAACCAGCTGTTGACAACAACAAACAAGTTATCAAAAATGTTGCTGTGGATCATGTTGATCTAGGTTGGAAGATGGATATTAATTCCAAAATGGATGCCAATTATATTAAACCAGTCATATCAAGCAAAATTATTGAGGAATCAGAGGATTTGAAAAGTATAATTATCAGCTCACAGTAAAGATTTCATTAAGTAGAAATAACATCTGCGATACTTCCTAGAGATTCTTATACAAATAGGCCTTCGGGCTATCCCCAACATGATGAAGTTAACGTTGAAGGTATAAATGCACCTACACCAATCTCACAAATTAATGAGGTAGAAAAGAAAAATAATTTAGCTATAAAATAAATGTTTCCGGACATTCTAAAGGAACAGTTGTGCACAAGATAAGCTCTGCCCCAGAAAATTATGGTTACTATGATTATACCTGCATAAAGAGTTTAGGCAGACAAATATATGACCAAACTATATGTACACATCCGGAAAAGAAATATTACCGTGAAATATAGATACTGCACACATGATCGTTTGGAATCAAATAAATGAAACTGTATATGTGTTGTACAGACTGCTATAATATGATAAGCATATACAGTAAAATACGTTTATAACAAACACGCTTATAACGAACTGACTGATATTACGAATTTATTTCTTCGCCGTGGCCATTTGCTGTTAATATTCTGTTTATATGCTTATGACGAACTACGGTTATAGCGAATTGAAATTAGTGGCTGGCCCCTTTGAGTTCGTCATAGCCGTAGTTTTCTGTATTAAAATTTGATCACTGTTATTATCAAATTCCAGTACCATACATAACTGACTCTTACTGTGAAGCTCTCATGACACAGATTGAAAATGCTTAACACAGTTGAAATACTGAACACAGTTCACAAATTGAATACAGTCACACATATAAACTCATGAACATAAGGTTTGCGGGGTTTGATATATAGTTGTAAGGTATGATGGAAAGACAAATGCTCCTGTGATTTACAGAGGTCCCGATGCAACAGAAAAGTTCCTAGAATCTCTACAAAATGAAGAGAGAATAGTTACTCAGGGAAAATTCATCGCATACGAAATCTATGTGTATGGCAAATGATGATTGGAGAGCTTGATAGGAGTTTGTAATAAATCTCTGAATGGGGATATTGTTAGAGAGCAATGTCACATTACAGGTAAATATATAGTAGCTGCACATAATGAGTGGAACTTAAAACTAAAAATAAATCCCCAAATAATACCAATCCTCGTATTTCATAATCTTAGAAGATTTGATTATCATGACACCATGCAAGCTATCTCAAAGACTGATGGTGGATTAACACGTATTTCTTATAATATGGCAAATAATAGTCTTAGATTCATAGATAAAGTACAGCTTCCGTTATCTTCCCTGTATAGTGTAGCTAATGCAAACAATCCTGATTACTTAGCTATAACAAATCAATATACTGATAAGATAACTCAACATTTGTTGCTATAACGGTATATATCTTTATGAATATACGGATGGTTGGCCTATATTTGATTAACTAAATTACCACCTGTTGAATCATTCTATAGCAACTTAACTGAATCTAAAATAACCGATGCTGATTGTAGACATGTTTTCAATGGGTGGAATAAATTAGGTTGTAAGAATTTAGGTGATTATGATCTATGTACTATTATTCTATATCAGAGATTAAGACAGCATGGCATGGATCCAGCATGGTGCTATTCCAGTTCCGGACTCTCGTGGGATGCATTGTTGAATGGAGGAGAACTAAATTCTAATTCATATAATCAGAATACCTCTCCATTATCCTGTCATGGGGTTATCTAGGTTGCTAGTCTGGCGGCTCTAAGTTATTCAGTGTTGTAATAAATAGGTATATCTACGGTTTCTGCTGTTCAGATTTCTCTTTACCGAAAATTCGGCTGTGCACTTAGTTCACTGCACACGTTGTCTTGGTTACCGTGATACCACCCATACGGCAACAGCTCATTTGTCGAAGAATCACATTAGCCATTTTATTTGCTAATGCCACATCCAATGCCTGGTGGAACGTATAGTCCCTCGGTAACAACTTCCTCTGTGTGCGTGCGTGCGTGCGTGCGTGCGTGCGTGCGTGTGTTCAGACATGATCCCTTTCCACCGAGTTCTCCCCCAACACACTGACAAGAGCCTGCCGTTTTCATCAGATGAGCAGCAGGGCAGGAACTGATTGATTACAAGTTCTTTTGGTGCAATGTGTCATTTTAATATAGCATAACATTTTAATATAGCATAACTGTACACATCCCTTTACGGTAGGCCTTTCAGGAAAACACAAATGTCGCACGTGAACATGTGACGCACCTCGCACGTGAAGAGATACTCCACAGAGTTACCTCCCCTACATCACGACGTGCCTGCACAGCAACTGTACCACCTACCACAAAAATGATTTTGTTGCAAGGTGGTTTTCTTTCCAAATATTCAGGCTCATAGTTTTAAATAAACAAATCTGGTTTTGCAGCTTAAAAAATATCTAATTTCGAAATATAATCCCAGCACCACGTTATGGTTTTGTCGCTTTTATACATCAGTTGTGCGGTACTTGATTAATAAATAAACCTTCAAAAGAGACAGAAATTACACAATTGATGCCAGATCTTATACTATAATCTTCAAAATCTGGTTCCAATATTACCGGGACCAGTATGGGCAACACGTGTGTATGGGTAATCTCATCAGTCTGGGGACGGTCGGGTAGGCTTGTGATTTAAGCATTCTCTCGTCACGTCGAGGACCCGGGCTCCATTCCCCACATGGGTACATTGTGTGAAGCCCATTTCTGGTGTCCCCCGTCGTGAAATTGCTGGAATATTGCTCGCTCACTCACTCACCACTCACTCACTCACTCACTCAAGGAAATATTTCACTCATGGAAAAAGGCGTTCCCAAGAATAATTGCCCGGAACTCGCCATTTCCCGAGTAACGGACCTTCGCTGTTGTGTCCAATGTAGGATCAGTGCCATATGTGCGCAGTATGTACTAAATGGCGGCAACCACCGTACGCCGAAAATGCCAAAAGTCAACAGACGGCGTACCGTACATGAAGAGCGCAGTAAACACAGACCAAGGTGACCGAACACCTGACAATCTCAGTAGAGCTACCCTGCAAATACCCACTCGGGAATCGCTCAGCTGCAGAAGGCGTTATCTGCTTGGTCGTCTGACCGTAGCTGTATCGGTAGAGAACATGATTTATGACAAGTCATCTGTTTGGAATTTTCTCATTTTATTACCTAAGGAATCAGACGAATTAAGAATACAATTTAAGTTGCAGAATTCAATTCCAAACATACTTTTGTTATTATGACTATCATTAGGACCATTAATGTCATGGTATAAGGAAAACTGTCCTTCTGGTATATCATTTCAAAACATTGCATTATATACTGAGTATCAAGGACGTAATGATCTCTAAAGAAGTATTTGAATTCAGCCAATCTAGATGCAGCAAAAATAGATACAGACAAGCGGAAGTTCTTGCCGCATTTCAAAACCAACACAATCTGAGGATAATCTGAAAATGCATATTTTCGTCGTTACGTAGTCAGAGACACAAACGCTAACAACTGACAATACAACACGTATCACAGGACGCTGGTTAGAGTAAATACTATATACGAATGTTTGTGACGAGGTCTTACACAGAGAAAATAATTGATATATACATTCTATGGCATATATAGGTATAGAAAAGTCCGTGTTCTCGCTAGCCATTCCTTTACAGATGACTGTTCGAATACATTTACACAAGAAACTATCAGTTCATTTTTCCGCACATGATCCCAAAGTTCTATTTTAATATGGTGCACTTTCGCACTTGTCTTTTCACGAATTTGGCGACTCAAAATAATAGAATAACAAATTGTAAGTACCAAATGCTGACTTCTTTAGGAGGACTAAGTAAGGATAGGATATATGGATGAACTACTGCTCCTAATTCTCATAAAGGATTGTTCATCCATATATCTTAACCTAAATTAACATATGCTTATTCTGCAAATGGCTAGTTTGTGAATAGGGCTATGACTTGGTTACTATTTGAAGCAACGTACATTAATTTTAAAAGACTGCGGTTTTTTGTAGATATTGTGAAAATTCTTGAATATCTTAAAACTCGAAACAAGTGAATAACCCAAGTACATAGGAGGGCCTAACTGCCATATCTGTAGTAGTACATGGTCACGTGATGGCTTGTTTTAACACTTGTTGCTGACAAGAGTAGGGAGGTGCGGGAGTTGGGCGGTGGAGTTGGTGTCGCTGGTGTCGTCGCGGTTGCCGGTGGTGTCCCTGCGGTGGAGGATGGCCTTGACGACGAGGACGATGCAGAGGATGAGCAGAAGCAGAAGAGCCACGGCCAGGGCCACAACTGTGGCGGTCATCTCCCAGGTCAAGTAGCACGCCTTGTTCTCCTTGAACTCGTTGAGAGCTGCAACAAACAGGTACACGTGTTCTACCCCGATTCGATAGTGAGTGAGTGAGTTTTGGTTTAACGCCGCTTTGAACAATATTCCAGTTATATATATAAATTGGCCATGCTGCATATATATGCGGTATATATTTACGTAACTTACCTCAGAACGAATAGGAAGTCCTTTTAAAGTTTCAGTTTTAAGGTTCAAGGGTTGAGTTATGTTTTAACGGCGCTTTTAACAACATTCCAGTTATATCGCGGTGTGTCAGCTTAATGTGGGAGGAAAGCCCGAAGTGATGGTGGTCACTTCGGTGAAACCCACGAGCACGGGTATAGTGCTTACAAACCTAGAAACATAATCGGGGCGAACCCCGATTCGAACCCATAATCATAGGTTTAGGGCATGCCTAGGGGACGCAACTCTGCACAGCGAATTGCGGCGCCTGAGACGACTGGGCCACCCGTGCTTAATGATATGATAATGCGAGTTTGAATAGACGGATACATTGGTCCAAAATGGAATTAAAGACCGTTCTTGTGCGTTACGACAGACTGTCAGTTAAGACATTCTCAAACATAAAACAATCTGTGTTTACCATCCAACTGAAGCCTTTTAGGGCTTAAGTTGAAATTTCAAGATACTAAGTTAAAATTTCAATATACTGACTTGAAATTTCAAGACACATACTAAGTTGCAACTTAAGACAATGATCTTGAAATTTCAAGATAATAAGTTGAAATATCAAGTTATTATATAAAAAATTGAACTTAAAATTTTGAAAATATCTTGACATTTCAACTTAGTATGTATCTTAAAATTTCAACTTAGTATCTTGAAATTTCAAGAAATTTGTCGTGAGAGGCGACTCTCGGGATCGGGTGGTCAGTTGACTTGGTTGGTGCATGTCATCGTATCCCAATCGCGTGGATCGATTCTCATGATGTCAATTACTGGATTGTCTGGTCCAGACTCGATTATTTACAGACCGCGTCATATAGCTTGAATATTGCTGAGTGCGGCGTTAAACAACAAACAAACACAATCGTGTATGTATGCGTATCTTGCCGCACGTATATCAGTTGCTGAAACAAGCAATGTGTCTGTACATGTCAGACATCAATACAAACACACTCTACCTGACTTGATTTCGATATCTGTTTAACACCGCTGTCAGCCGCTTCCCAGCTACATAACGGCGACCTGTCAAGTCTGGACCAACCACACCGATGGGTGATAGCATGATCATCTCCCCATCCCGGCGAGGTTTGAACACACACAACAAGCCATGTCCAAGAGCCTACATTGCTTTACTCAGTTTATCGCAGTGCCTCAGACGACTGGGCCCTCAAAAGGCATGTTGGACTACTATTAATACGCTAAAATACCGCTATATCAAAATAGATTTGGCTCAGTTTGGTCGCAACATATTGTACGTACTTGCAGCGGCGGTAGCGAGGGCAAGTGGGTCGTTGATGTTGAATGATCTTTGCAGGACCTTGTCCGGACTGGTCCCCGCCTCTCTCTTCTTCCTTCGTGAACAGGTCACCTGGCAAAAAAAAGCACCATGACTTTAAGTAAAATACAAGCGACTAAACCCTTTCCATGATCATAAGGGGGCACGGGTGGCCCAGTCGTCTAAGGCGCCGCGATTCGCTGTGCAGAGTTGCGTCCCTTGGGCACGCCAGAATCCTATGATTGTGGGTTCGAATCCGGATACGCTCCGTTTCTAGGTTTGTCAGCACAATACCCGTGCTCGTGGGTTTCACCAAAGTGGTAAACGTCTGAGATTTGTATCACTTCGGGCTTTCCTCACACATTAAGCTGACACGCGATAATATAACTGGAACACACTAACCGCCAGCACACACAGTCAGCGATCTAACCCACTCAGCCACTGAGGCTTCCACAAAAAAAGCCCGACAACTGGTAGTCTAGATCACGTTCTTTGAGTACCCCTCTGACAAGTGTAAATTGGCACGGATCCCATGGATAAAAGCTGTGAATGCACAATGCCATTTAGAAAGTTGTCAAATATAACAAATGTTATATTTGGGAAAACACTTTCTTAGTAAAGTACAGATTCTCGTCCTTTTTTAGGGTTGAGTCCCGTCCGCAAAAGAAACCTCACCCTAAGTAACATTGCATGAAAAGTTGTCATTTAAATATCTGGGTAATTTTTGTCAAAGTTTCTAAAATTTAACATTACCTTTGTTGATACAAAAAACAAAGCAGATGACAATATAATAAAACCGATCGCCCAAACGCATCACGGCAACAGCCATGGTAACCCGATGCACGAGAGTTCCGTGCAAATTGAAATGCACATGCGTTCCCCCATTTTTTGCCCTATAAAAATCCATCCAGATCGGATAACATTCATTCGTTATTGAATTGCTACCACATGCCAAGTTTGACAAGAAATCAGCGACACCAAGCCCTTGACGATTGCAAGCTGGACAAACCGCCCGGCAAGAACCCATTTCAAGTCCACGTAAGGACCATATACTGGCTCCGGCAACGGTACCAGACCACCAACACTACAGATGACCGACCACGTAGTGGACGACCAAGGGTCACCACCCGACGTAGGGATCGTCAGATTGTGCAACAGCATCTTCAAGATCGCTTTGTTATTGCTGCGGAAACTGCTCAACAAACCATGGGGACACACTAGCGACACATTAGTGCGGACACCGTGCGTCGGCGATTGACGAGCAGACACTTCCACTGTCACAGGCCACATCGAGGACCCATTCTGACACCACGTCATCGCCGGGTCTTCAGTGGGCAACACATTACAGCACCAGCATTGGCGCCACCAGCAGTGGAGAAGAGTCCTCTTCTCAGACGAGAGCCGTTACTGTATCTCAACAGCAGATGGCAGAGAGAGAGTCTGGCGACGCCGTGGGGAACGTAATGCGGATGCGTAATGTGTTGTTGAGAGAGAGACTCGTGGGGTGGTCCGAGCATCATAGTGTGGGGTGGAATTGGTCTTGCACAGAGGGTCGGCCCTGTGGTCTTCCAGAACATCGGTCCAGAGAGAGGCAATTGTGTCACAGCAGCTCGGTACATTGATCAAGTCTTGAAACCACACGCCATAGCTCATTTGGCACGTCGCCGCAACCACGAGTTTCAGCACGATAACGCCCGTGCCCACACCGCGAGAGCAAAAAGAGACTTCCTCTGGCAGAATGACATCAGAACCATGCAGTGGCCTGTCCTCAGTCCCGATTTAAATCCCATTGAGCACCTGTGGGACGAGATTCAAAGACGGCTGAATGACGTCCGACCAAGGCCGACAAGTGCAGCTGAACTGCGTCAGGCGTTCCTCAGAGTGTGGGCTCAAGTGCCTATGGCTTTCATCAACCGCCTTATCCATTCCATGTTTCGACGTTGCACGGCAGTCATCAATGCACATGGCGGACATACGAGATACTGACTTGTGATGCCATTTCGTCAGAGACTAGTGTTGTGTTTCACTTTAAGAACACCTTACACTTTAATTTTAACCTTGATAATCAGTTTTGCGAAGTTTCATCTTTTTAATATGTCTCAAAGTATGTTTACAGTGTTTGGACAAATTAGGTTTCTCATATATCTGTCCATGGTGACGTTTCTTTTGCGATTCAGTATATATAATATTTGTTACATTTGACCACTTCTAAATGGCATTGTGTATTCATATATAATACCTGGAGTTTTCCTGAATGAAAAGGTTGTATTTTGTATTTTCATCGAATCAGCACTTTGTGCAGCTTTTACAACGACAATGATGTTAATTGAGTGGCGAAAAACATACGCAGAAAAAACATCAGGCAGCCATAATATAAAGGGTATCGTAACTAGGGTATCGTCTTCGTATTCCGGAACGCGTAACTTACCGGATCACAGTCGGTGGACACTGCACATGCTTTGATGTCACAGGTCACGAACAGAGTATCCGAGCCAGTGAACTTGAAGGCGTCGAAAGTGAACGTTTTGCTTGTGGCGGGCCCAGCGACAGGGACCAGCATGACACTCTTCAGGTCAGCCGCAGGACAACTGGAACGATAGATGTCAACTACAGGATGTGTGTGTGCCTGTGTCAGTGTGTGTGTCTGTGTGTGTGTGTGTGTGTGTGTGTCAGTGTGTGTGTCTGTGTGTGTGTGTCTGTGTCAGTGTGTGTGTGTGTCTGTGTGTGTGTGTCAGTGTGTGTGTCTGTGTGTGTGTCTGTGTGTGTGTGTCTGTGTGTGTCTGTGTCAGTGTGTGTGTCTGTGTGTCTGTGTGTCTGTGTCAGTGTCTGTGTCTGTGTGTGTCTGTGTGTGTGTGTGTGTGTGTGTCTGTGTCAGTGTGTGTGTGTCTGTGTCAGTGTGTGTGTGTCTGTGTCAGTGTGTGTGTCTGTGTGTGTCTTGGTGTGTTTCTCGTCTGTGTATGTGTGTCTGTGTGTGTGTGTCTGTGTCAGTGTGTGTGTCTGTGTCAGTGTGTGTGTCTGTGTCAGTGTGTGTATCAGTGTGTGTGTGTGTGTGTCTGTGTCAGTGTGTGTGTCTGTGTCAGTGTGTGTGTCTGTGTCAGTGTGTGTGTCTGTGGGTGTCTTGGTGTGTTTCTCGTCTGTGTATGTGTGTCTGTCTGTGTGTCTGTCTGTGTGTGTGTGTGTGTGTCTGTCTGTCTGTCTGTGTGTGTCTGTGTGTGTGTGTGTGTTTCTGTGTGTTTCTGTGTGTCTGTGTGTTTCCATTTGGAATAGCTTTGATGAGTAACACGTGGATCAAGTTACAGGCCCCGTACTGGACATTCTGAATTAGCAAATAAATCTGAATGTATTTCAGCTTACAAACCTTGCTGTGATGAAATCTCTCGACTTATACGTTCCAGCACCGCTTGTGGCTTCGTTCGCGGCATAGCACCTCGTCAGTCGAATAGCCGCGAACTCTGAAAGCATTCATCCACAAAATGTACATACATAACGTCCTGCACTTTATTGAACATATTCCATAGCTCTTCAACAGAAACAGCACCGTCGTCTTGGCGTCGCGTTTGTTCTTATATATATGAACTTTTATGCATTTGCTTAGAGAAGAAAGCCGTGGCCATGTGCTGATGACAATACATTAGTGGGGGGTGGTAAGTTAGGTGCCACTGGATCTCCCCCATGTAGTTTTGTGTTGCCGGCCACAGTATACAGTCAGCACATGAAATGACACAACATACAATGGTGATCGACACTAGGCGTTTCAATTGTTTGATAGGCATTACTTAGAAGTTGACTTGACAAGATAGACACAATTTTTATGGATAATAACTTCTTTAATACTGGGAAAAGCGTCGTTTCAGTATAGATCCTTGTACCGTTGTCAAGCAAGACTGAATGAGGGACATAGTACAGAATATATATATAGTGGGTGGAGGATGGGGAACAGGATAAGTGATTATTGTTTGATGAGTTAATAGTAGGCGGATGGGATGAAATAGCCTTGATCTTTGTTGATTGATGGCTTGTGGCGGCGAATGAGGACTACTTCAGTTAGTTTTCTTTTAGTGAAATCATGGAGATTGTTGTTGACGTTTGTTCAATGCCTTCCACGGTCCCTCTTCAAATACAAGGCCGAAATTTCATCTCGGTGCGTGAAACGACACCCAAAAGGGTGAATATGAATATAAGAATTGAATGTTGTCAGCAGTTGGCTAACCTTTGCAACATCTAACGTATGTGTACTTGTGCGTACATGTCTCTGGGTGAGGCGTTACCAAAGCGAAGGCAGTGTATTGTCAGAAAAGCACAGAGGTGCTGCCACACACACATCCCAGCCCCCCCCCCCCCCCCCCCATGGACACATCTTCGTACACACCAACCTATACGCACGGACGTACACACACACACACACACACACACACACACACACACACACACACACACACAAAGAAACCCTCACACGCGCACACACAAACGCACGCACACCACCATCACACCAGCCACACTTCCTAAAAAGACCAAAAAAACTATTCTTCTCCGAACGATATAGGCATCTACAGATTCCGGATATACTAGGAATAAGATCTGGAAGCAACAGACCGGCACTGGATAATTGGCGAAGATGGGTTCAATCATTATGCCACTTCCAGTATAGTATGTCCTTAAATAATACGTTCGCGTTCAATTTTCTGTTTTTCAATTTTCGTAGATCCAGCTATGCATAGAACATTTGAAATAAAATATACATTCATGGGATTCTTGAAAGGAAAATATTAGAATATTAACATGTTAGATTTGTCAGAAGAACATTTGTTTTGTAGCTTCGTTGTATGAAGAATGAAGTTATAAAAGAGTGTTATAATTCACACGGATGATGCAGTACTGTACAACCAATAAACATGAAGCAGAAGTAACGACCGGGTCATAATATCAGCGTATTTTCAGCCACAAAGCTTTTCTAAAGGCTGATAATAATGGACATTTCATCCTTGGCAGTCTGTAGATCATGTCATATAGATATGTGGTTCATAGAAAGGTTTCCAGGGAGCTTGTCATGACGTGCTGCCGCCAGTGTTAAAACAACGAAGGGAAACGCACTTACTGGCACTGCCGGGAGTAGTGAGTGCGACAGTCACAAGGATGTCTGCACCAAGGTCAAGTGTCGCTCCGCTGGCAGAACTACCGCCGGACGTCAAGGTCAGATCGATGTCGGCGTCCAGGGGAACGTTACTGACATCCTTTGTACCTAGATTGCTGTAAACATCATCATCATAATCATCACCATCATCATCATCATTATCTAATAATATTTCGCTCTATGATTTAGATCAGTCCATGTTGTCATGTGTATGAATACACTGAAGACCCGTCAATACAGTAAGTCCTTGTTGTCAAGTCTACATGTGTACACTGAAGACTCGTTAATACAGCCAGTCCCTGTTGTCAAGTCTATATGTCTACAGTACGTTAGATTAACAATTTTCAAAATTACCAAATCTAGGTACATTGTGGTTTTATCTTTAACTCGTTGCGTGCCATTTAGGACAATAGGCACGAGCTCAACGGGTGTAGGGTGACGTAGCCATGGTTACCTTTCAACATTCTGGATGGTGACAGCTCCCGACGACTGTGCTATTTCGTCACTGGTACCGCAGGTGAAAGTGATCAGTTCATCACGGGTGGTCAGTGTGTCCGTTCCGAACTGGATGATGATTTCTTGGACAGAATTGGTTCCCTTCAAAACATAATTTTCACTTCAAGAATGACATTATGTTATTTTAATACGTTGGTAAGGGAGTATAGCCATGGAGGAAATACAGTGATAGATATAACTGGAATACTTTTAAAAACGGCGTTAAACCCAACTCGCTCACTCTAACAGAACGCCAGTAAAGGAAAGGGCTTTTACCGTTGTTGTTGCGCCGCAGGTTGCGTCGTCAATGGCAACAGCAGTGGACATGTAAACCCCCGTCCCTGTCGCTGTTTCAGCTAACGGACATGGCGTCTCCTTATTCTTGTGATAAACTTTCCCAGAAAACGAGGATACATGCGGAACGACCTTCATCGTCATTGTATCTGGATTGGCGGCGGTGTCACACGTCAGCATGTCTGTCAACATAAACAGCAGACAATGAGATCTGTTTCCGAATTCAGGGCTCATTAATGGCTCCGAGTAAAGTCTGCATACACAATAATCGTTTAAGTAACACGGGATATAACACTTGTGCGAGTTCAAACAATCTTCGTGGACGCTGTCCATGTAACACGTAATACATATAATACGGTATACGGTCAACTATGTACCCGCATACGTGTAAACCGGGTATATAAGGAAGAGGGGGATCTTACATCGCTTGTTGTGGCAGGTCGGGGTAGTACGGGTACTTGTTGACACAGGCGGAGTAGTCAGGGTATTTACATCGCTTGTTGTCACAGGTCGGGGTAGTTAGGGTACTTGTTGTCACAGGTCGGGGTAGTGAGGGTATTGCTGTCACAGGTCGGGGTAGTTAGGGTACTTGTCACAGGTCGGGGTAGTGAGGGTACTTCTTGTCACAGGTCGGGGCAGTAAGGGTACCTGTTGCCACAGGTCGGGGTAGTGAGGGTACTTGTTGTCACAGGTCGGGGCAGGGAGGGTACTTACACCGCTTGTCCTCACAAGTTGCTCCCACATAGTCCGGGGCACAGAGACACGTGGCGGCGGAGGCAGCACCCGCCTTGTGGCAGGTCCCGCCATTAATGCAAGGGTTGGTGGTGCAGGCAGCGTCGGCTTGGTCAGCTGAAAGGAAATACCTCTACCTAAATATACACGTTTCAAATGTAGCTTACTGAACGATCCACACATATGGAAGTAAATAATAAGTATAACTGATTTCTCACCAAATGTTTACACTGAACATCTATCGTGTTACGATTCATCCTATATTCCATATCCCTGTCTCGCCGTATAGAGTGAGTGAGTGAGTGGATTAACGCCCCTTTTAACAGTATTCCAGTGATGAAGGTAACAGACGTTTACCACTTTGGAGAAACCCACGAGCACGGGTATGGTGCTGACAAACCTAGAAACATAATCTGGTCGAACCGGGATTCGAACCCACAATCATAGGTTTCTGGCGTGCCCAAGGGACGCAACTCTGCACAGCGAATCACGGCGCCTTAGACGACTGGGCCACCCGTGCGCCCTCGCCATATAGAACACACCCTTGTTGTTTCAGAGTATTCTTCGACAGTGAATCTATCTAGTGTACATGATGAAATTGCAAGTGACATGAGGCCATTTGCCGCGTAACAGGCTTACTGTTTCACGTGTGTCAATGAATACTACAGGAACACTAACTTGTTCAGCTACAGCCATAGGTTTAGGATTTGAGATCTTTATATGAATTGAATTGGATGTTGCTTTTTTCTCCCGAGAAGTAAACATGTGGAAAAGTGGTGAGGGGAAATGGGGTGTAACGCCACGTCCAAGTTTTTGCACTGACATAGCGACGTGCATGCATGTGTCTGTGTATGGCTGCCCGTACTAGTCCGGACTCAAGCCGATTGTATAGGGTTAGCATATATACCATGCCGCAGTTTAACATGAACGCCCCACTCAGACACAGAAAACTGACTCTGAGCCGATCAGTCCTTGTTTAAGTCCTTTAAGGCCGAACGCCACACAGGGTTGCAACAAGTGCCATCTTTGGACGTTTTTTGGGGTATGACGCGGCATGGGATCGAACCTTCCGCTCCCCGGGCGGGCTGTCTACCATTAAACCACGGAAGCGGTCAAACATGTGCAAAGTGTTTAGCAGATGGCGGAAGGGGACAGCAACGTGGGTCAATGTATCGGACACTGGTGTGGGTGAATTTTACGCCGCTTTTTTTAAGCAATATTCCAGCATTGTAACTATGTGGGCAATCGAACCCGGGTCTTCGACGTGACGAGAGAACGCTTTAACCACGAGGCTACCACACCGCTCCGCCGGACACCTAAACGCACGTCTGGATACTGCTAGGTCAACATAAAGAAGTAACGATGGTGATCTATAGCATTAGTAATCAAGTAAAAGGTATTTGTTTCATAAAGTAATAGGTAAGATCATCGGTTGTGCTAAGACGTACCAATTACCACAGAGCAGTCGTAGCCTGTGTATGATGCGTCACACGAACAGGTTCCGGCAGCCATATCGCACGTGCCGCCATTCTGACACGACCCAGTCTCTCGGGCGCAGTCAAAGAGTGCGGACACTGAAATAAACAAAATGTATATTAAAGATGATCAAATCGCAATAATCACTAAATCTGCCAAACTGGCGCCCATATGAAACTTTACTGTTTCAAAAGTTTAACAAAAAGTGTCATTCCGTAAGAAAGTCTGAACGGAATAATTGACATCACCTCGTGTACAGTGTAAATAACCAGGTCGGGGATCTATCAGCTTCATATAGACGTGTCATTCTATTGATTGAACCAAGACAAAATGGAGGTTATATACGTTTACCAGTGTGGTAAAACCCACAGTCAGACACGGTGATGATGTACAAAGGATGGACGTGAGTCTTGTATTTAAACCCACCATTGACACAGTACACTGACGCGGATCGAACCTCGGACCTCCCGTTCTCCGGGCGGACGCTTAACCACTAGACCACGGAGGCGGTCATATGTATAAGTGAGAATGGTCTACCCTAGTCACCTGATAAAAGTGCTTATACATTAAATAACACCCACCTGATCCAAGACAGAAGGAGATCATTAGACACAGAGTCACCCTCATCATGATGGTTAGGTACACAAGGGGGGCAGGTGTTATCTGTAAGATAATAAAACAGATTATAGTAATGGATCTAAAGCACGTTTACAAAAGACCCAAATTACAATAGTTGAATCTGATTTAAATGCACACAACTATTACCCCGGTGATTAATACGTTTAATCTTATTTTGTATTATCAGCTCCATGGGGAGTATACAACAATATCTCCCTGTCGGGCGGTCAAAGGTAAATATGTTAACACATTTGCATTATATTTTTTCGGGTATTTATTCTCTGCTGAGTAAACAGAGACAAACATTGGACAAAGTCACTCGTCAAATGCAGTGATGCATAACATTGTGCCACAGGACAGAGAGAGTAGCATAGCATGTGTCTTTGAGTGGCAGGTTCAGGCTCTCCACGGATCAAGTTAACATCATGCAGTGATGCATAACATAGTGCCACGGACCGAGTGTGCAGCATGTGTCTTTGAGTGGCAGGTTCAGGCTCTCCACGGATCAAGCTAGCATCATACAAGCCACTGAGAAACATTGACAAATGTACCATTGAGCAACATTATCATATATATCATTGAGCAGTACTGACAAATGTACCATTAAGCAACATTGACATATGTACCACTGAGCAACATAGTCAGATATATCATTGAGCAGCATTGACAAATGTACCATTCAGCAGCATTGACATATGTACCACTGAGCAACATTGATATATTACCATTGAGCAACATTATCATATATATCATTGAGCAGCATTGACAAATGTACCACTGAGCAGCATTGACAAATGTACCATTGAGCAGCATTGACAAGTGTACCATTGAGCAACATTGACAAATGTACCATTGAGCAACATTGACAAATGTACCATTGAGCAGCATTGACAGATGTACCATTGAGCAACATTGACATATTACAATTGAGCAACATTGTCATATATATCATTGAGCAGCTTTGACAAATGTGCCATTGACCAGCATTGACAAATATACCATTTAGCAGCATTGACATATGTATCATTGAGCAGCATTGACAAATGTACCATTGAACAACATTGTCATATATATCATTGAGCAACATTATCATATATATCATTGAGCAGCATTGACAAATGTACCATTGAGCAGCATTGACAAATGTACCACTGAGCAACATTGACAAATGTACCATTGAGCAGCATTGACAGATGTACCATTGAGCAACATTGACATATTACAATTGAGCAACATTGTCATATATATCATTGAGCAGCTTTGACAAATGTGCCATTGACCAGCATTGACAAATATACCATTTAGCAGCATTGACATATGTATCATTGAGAAGCATTGACAAATGTACCATTGAACAACATTGTCATATATATCATTGAGCAACATTATCATATATATCATTGAGCAGCATTGACAAATGTACCATTGAGCAGCATTGACAAATGTACCACTGAGCAACATTGACAAATGTACCATTGAGCAACATTGACATATGTACCACTGAGCAACATTGACAAATGTACAACTGAGCAACATTGACAAATGTAGCATTGAGCAGCATTGACAAACGTACCATTGAGCAGCATTGACAAATGTACCATTGAGCAACAATGACAAATGTTCCATTGAGCAACATTGACAAATGTACCATTGAGCAACATTATCATATATATCATTGAGCAGCATTGACAAATGTACCATTAAGCAGCATTGACATATGTACCATTGAGCAACATTATCATATATACCATTGAGCAGCATTGACAAATGTACCACTGAGCAACATTGACGAATGTACCATTGAGCAACATTGACATATTACCATTGAGCAACATTATCATATATATCATTGAGCAGCATTGACATATTACCATTGAGCAACATTGAAAAATGTACCATTTAGCAGCATTGACATATGTATCATTGAGCAGCGTTGACATATGTATTATTGAGCAGCATTGACAAATGTACCATTGAGCAACATTGACATATTACCATTGAGCAAAATTGTCATATATATCATTGAGCAGCATTGACAAATGTACCATTGACCAGCATTGACAAATGTACCATTTAGCAGCATTGACATATGTATCATTGAGCAGCATTGACAAATGTACCATTGAGCAACATTGACATATTACCATTGAGCAAAATTGTCATATATATCATTGAGCAGCATTGACAAATGTACTATTGACCAGCATTGACAAATGTACCATTTAGCAGCATTGACATATGTATCATTGAGCAGCATTGACAAATGTACCATTGAGCAACATTGTCATATATATCATTGAGCAGCACTGACAAATGAACCATTGAGCAGCATTGACATATGTACCATTGAGCAACATTGACATATGTATCATTGAGTGACATTGACAAATGTATCATTTAGCGGCATTGACATATGTACCACTGAGCAACATAGTCATATATATAATTGAGCAACATTGACAAATGTACCACTGAGCAACATTGTCATATATATCATTGAGCAACATTGACAAATGTACCATTGAGCAACATTGGCATATATATCATTGAGCAGCATTGACAAATGTACCATTGAGCAACAATGACAAATGTACCATTGAGCAACATTGTCATATGTACCATTGAGCGACATTGATATATTACCATTGAGCAACATTATCATATATATCATTGAGCAGCATTGACAAATGTACCACTGAGCAACATTGACAAATGTACCATTGAGCAGCATTGACAAGTGTACCATTGAGCAACATTGACAAATGTACCATTGAGCAACATTGACAAATGTACCATTGAGCAGCATTGACAGATGTACCATTGAGCAACATTGACATATTACCATTGAGCAACATTGTCATATATATCATTGAGCAGCTTTGACATATGTATCATTGAGCAACATTGACATATGAACCATCGAGCAACAGTGACATATGTACCATCGAGCAACAGTGACATATGTACCATTGAGCAACATTGACATATGTACCATCGAGCAACAGAGACATATGTACCATTGAGCAACATTGACATATGTACCATCGAGCAACAGAGACATATGTACCATCGAGCAACATTGACATATGTACCATCGAGCAACAGTGACATACGTACCATTGAGCAACATTGACATATGTACCATCGAGCAACAGTGACATACGTACCATTGAGCAACATTGACATATGTACCATCGAGCAACAGTGACATATGTACCATCGAGCGACATTGTCATATGTAGCATTGAGCAGCATTGACATATGTACCATCGAGCAACAGTGACATATGTACCATCGAGCGACATTGTCATATGCATCATTGAGCAGCATTGACACATGTACCGTTGAGCGACATTGTCATATGTACCATTGAGCGACATTGTCATATGTGCCATTGAGCGGCATTGACAAATGTACCATTGAGCAACATTGTCATATCTACCATTGAGCGACATTGACATATGTATCATTGAGCAACAGTGACATATGTACCATCGAGCAACAGTGACATATGTACCATTGAGCAACATTGACATATGTACCATTGAGCGACATCGACATATGTATCATTGAGCGGCATTGACAAATGAACCACTCAGCAACATTGACATATGTTCCATGGAGCAATATTGTCATATGAATCATTGAGCAACATTGTAGCAACATTGACATAATTACCATGGAGCAATATTGTCATATGAACCACTGAGCAACATTGTCATATACTCCTGACATGTGAAACTGTCCTGTGAACAAACGAGTCTGCACCAGACAATTCAGTGATTGATATTATTAACGATCCACGGCGTCATGGTACGTGCCACACTATCAATCACACCACCTGGCCTGACCACTCCATCCTTGTGTCAGTAAGTAGGTGTCAAAAAGTTGTATGGCCAACTGTAGAAACCTGAAGTGATGCAGGTATTATTAAATTTATATGAATGGCGGGTGCTACCGGGAGGGCAGGACATGCGAGCCCATGTCGCGAACGGCTAGTGTCATTACTGATTTTCAGTTGTCCATTGATATACTTGATTTTTTTGCATTTGCCAAATGGAATCTGTTTCGAAGGTTTACCACAACGAGCATGCGTGTGGATGACAAATCAAGGGTTATACTGGGGACAAACAGAACCTCCCCTACACACACCACACCATATCCCTCCCCAAACACACCCCTACATGCCTGGTTAGGTTTTTATGTTTGTTTGTTATTTAACGCCACACTCAGCAATATATTAGCTATATGACGGCGCTCTGTAAATGAACGAGGCTGGACCAGACAATCCAGTGATTGACACATGAGTATCGATCCACGCCACTGGGATACGATGACATGCATCAACCAAGTCAGCGAGACTGACCACCCGATCCCGTTAGCCGCCTCTTATGACAAGCATTGTCACCTTTTACGGCAAGCATGGGGTGCTGAAGACCGTTTCTTCCCCGGATCTTCGCGGGTTTAATTAAGTTTTTTTATGAAAGTCAGCATGTGACCCTGAATTAATATATCCGTTACTCAGTATTTAAAATAGTTCTTTACAGTGCATACCACATGAAACCAACGACTGGCGTCGTGTCGTCACCCGCACAAGCCCTGTCACGTAACTAGTGGAAGAACCGGTTTGTCCCTCCCACACAAGCCCTGTCGGTGAGCAACCGAGTTGTTTACCATGGCAACAGGCCAAACCATTCCACTCTTCTCTATTTAGGTCCTAATTATTTCTTAGTTTGGACCTGTTTGGTTAGTTTCTTGGTGCCATCATCTCACCGATGAATGGATTTTAACATTTGTATTGATGTCAACATATAGGCATGTAGTTTTGTGGACCCGTGTGTTTCAGGACCAACAGATACCCCAACCTTTTTAACCTGGGATGCATATTCACAAAACTATTGACACACCTGTGTCCTGACACAAATCATTTTGCAATCATTATGTTTCACCTTTTGTTCCCAAGGCGGGTGCTTATGACATTCCACTGGCACAAACTAGTGTAAGCTTTTTAACGCTTCAATACGACGTAAACACATCTCAAACTGCTTCAGCTGATGAGATGTTACTGTCTGAGGCTAACGTGCCGATGTTGGTTCAGTAATAATCATCGCTTCTGAACAGGTCATCGGTTCATGTGACAGTCAGTTCAAAGTTTACTTTAAACAACATAGATCCTGAAGACAAATTGAGGACAGGATTGACTTATGAACTTTAGTTTCCTTTATTCTATCAACGCCGTGTTTTGGTACAGGTGTTAGGGGCCGAACATTTGGTATTCTGGGATTTTGTCTGAGATTAGGATCATTCAGGTACATGTACATCTGCCAAACCAGATATTTATTAAATTACAACTATGAGCCTCACTATGTTTTTAAAGGAAAACACCTTTCTACAATGTTATTTTGTGGCAAGCCATTTTTTTTTAACATTCTGAAGAATTCTTTTTCAAGAATTTTACGGGACAATTGAGTTTTTTCGTTAACTTCCATGCCTCATCCCCAGAATAGTAAATGGTTGGTCCCTATATAACATGCGTCAATCCCGTCCACATAGATTCAACATTTATATGTCACTCAAAGATATAATGAAAATAAATATCAAACAATATTTACGATATGAACACAACACGCGCTTTCATAATGCATCACACACACATTATATAGGAGATTATTACAAATATGTTAAAAAACAATCGGATTATTACTTTTAAGTCTATACATAATACGTGTGTTGAAACAGAAAGACGTATAGCATTAGATTTCGTCTTGGAAACGCCTCCTTACCTGAGATGGTGGTTTGGTTCCTCTTACACCTGTCAGATCTACCTGAAGCTACTTCAGGTGATGACTATCGATCAGTTCGTTTTGGATGCAGCGGTGGAACTGATGCTGGGTCTACAGCAAGCTGTGATATATCCATCCCCTTGGTTGCTGAACCAAACCTATTGTCATAACAAACCTGTCGCTGGCAGTGACATTAACATGTTAATGAACTTTTGTCTTCGATGGAGCCAATGAAACTCTGATTAAAACAGGATCGAACAGGGTCGGTATTGAGATTAAGTTCATTGGGTAAATCGATTTCCAATATCCCTCGGAACCAATCACTTTTTGACGGGCGCTATTCGTCATGTGGACACGAGGAACATTTACAGGATGATGTAGAATCGGTACATAGAGTTGAACACATGAAAAATAAACATAAGGTACCGATCAATTTAACATCATCGTCGTCGTCGTCGTTAGTAGTAGTGGTAGTAGTAGTAGTAGTAGTAGTAGTATGCATGTATGTATGTATGTATGTATGTATGTATGTATGTATGTATGTATGTATGTATGTATGTATGTATGTATTATGTATGTATGTATGTATGTATGTATGTATGTATGTATGTATGTATGTATGTATGTATGTATGTACAGATTAAATTTGTAAACATGCAGGAAAAAGGGTTTGGGTAGTCCTGGCATAGTCAGGCTCATCAACAGCTCAGGGCCCTTCCACCCTCTACACGCAGCCGAGACAGCGAATGGTATAAATGATATCATTGGATTTATCAAAAGATCAGGTTTGTTGGCCTGGATACGTCTGAGGCTGGAAATGGGCCTATTTATTACATAATCTACACTCATATTTACATTTTGATGGAAAATCACACATTGACATTGACGTTCGGAAGTGACTGGTCCTGAGCAGCAAACAGAAAGCCTTCTGTTTCAGTTTTCAGGCGACCGCCTCGGTGGTCTAGTGGTAGAACGTCCGCCCGGAGAGCGGAAGGTCCGGGGTTCGATCCCCAGCCGCGTCATACCAAAAGACGTTAAAAGATGGTACTTGTTGTTACCCTGTCTGGCGCTCGGCATTAAGGGGCTAAAACAAGGACTGGTCGGCTCGGAGTCAGTATACTGTGTCTAAGTGTGGTATTCATGTTAAACTGCGGCATGGTATCTCAGTGTGCTAGCACTATAAATCGGCATCAGTCCGGACTAGTACAAGCAAACACACACACACACACATACACGTGCATGCACGTCGCTATATAAGTGCAATAATCCTGGACGCGACGTTATACCGCATTTCAGGCTAGCCGCACTTTTCAGGCTAGCCGACTTTATCTAAGTTAAGGACTCTGCAGACTATACCAGGTCAACTCGTGTATGTGTCAGCGGACTATACCATGTCCACTCGTGTATGTGTCAGCCGACTATACCAGGTCCACTCGTGTATGTGTCAGCCGACTATACCAGGTCCACTCGTGTATGTGTCAGCCGACTATACCAGGTCCACTCGTGTATGTGTCAGCCGACTATACCAGGTCCACTCGTGAGTGTGTCAGCCGACTATACCAGGTCCACTCGTGTATGTGTCAGCGGACTATACCAGGTCCACTCGTGTATGTGTCAGCCGACTATACCAGGACCAATCGTGTATGTGTCAGCAGACTATACTAGGTCCACTCGTGTATGTGTCAGCGGACTATACCAGGTCCACTCGTGTATGTGTCAGCCGACTATACCAGGTCAACTCGTGTATGTGTCAGCAGACTATACCAGGTCCACTCATGTATGTGTCAGCGGACTATACCAGGTCCACTCGTGTATGTGTCAGCGGACTATACCAGGTCCACTCGTGTATGTGTCAGCCGACTATACCAGGTCAACTCGTGTATGTGTCAGCCGACTATACCAGGTCCACTCATGTATGTGTCAGCGGACTATACCAGGTCCACTCGTGTATGTGTCAGCGGACTATACCAGGTCCACTCGTGTATGTGTCAGCGGACTATACCAGGTCCATACATAATGACATATTGGAATGATTTATACATTGTGTGCCGCTCAATTCTTCCATCAAAGAAAGATCGGTCGATGCGATGTTAAAGACACACACACACACACACACACACACACACACACACACACACACACACACACACACACACACACACACACACACACACACACACACACACACACTTCCTCTCGGTCCCAGAACTGATATGAAGTTTGTCTAACCAGGGAACATAGTTAAAGCGTTCGCTCGTCACGCCGTACACCCGGGTTCGATTCCCTACATGGGTACACAGTGTGAAGCCCATTTCTGGTGTCTCCCGTCGTGATATTGCTTGAACATTGCTAAAAGCGGCGTAAAACCATACTCACTCGCTCACCAGGGAACATAGAACATGTTGCTGTTTATTCCATAGTGTATCATATCCAAATATCGAATAATTTGCATCTTAAAATAGATCTGATTTATTACATACCAATAGCTGTCAAATATTTGTTGATTTTATATGCAAATTTTCATTCCATAATTGATTTTGCGAAGTTACACATAAAAATCACATAATAAATTGGTGTTCAATAAATGTAATACATCTTTGGATTCATTAAAATGTAGTTATATTCAGTATAAGGCAAATTACAAAGGAACCAGGCCAAGTAATCAATCACAAGTAGAACATCAAGTGGTTTTATTAAAGTGGCATGGGATCAGTTTGCATGTTTGGCAATTCACGCAGTCTACGATATTGTAGTCACATCTGACTGTTTGCTTGACAAAATCCAGGAAGGCGTCTTTTCGTCCTCAAACAGTCTATTTCCACATGCACGCTTGTTCTTGTTGTTCAGCAACGCCATAGATGTAGTAACCAACTAAAACATGTTGGCATTATTTCTAACCAACGTCAATGTGTTGGGTCTGTTTCCGGAGTTTTCTTATGAATACAGAAAGGGTATAACCGCTTTCATTTGATACGCATTCTCCACCAAACACGTCCATATACCTGCCCATGTAAATACATGTTTGTATACTAACAGCATCGATGTGTACCCTGTTAGATTCACGTGGATAATTGTGCAGCTAACGTTGATAAAGTAACTGCTTGCATCTAATTTTCCTTAGTTTGAGACGAACAAATAAAGGAAAGACATTATCCCCGACGAAGTGCGCTGTTATTTATTGATATTTACTAATGATGAATGGGTGCTGGCTATGGAACCGACCATATGATATTCCTGAGGGGGAAGGACGCCTGCGGTTGGGGTGGGGGTGGGGGTAGGGTAGGGTTTGGAGTTGGAGGCGCAGAAGCTTATTTTGTTATTTCTAAATTCATTTGATCCAGAATATACTGATAAAATATAATTTTGTTCCAGGCTTGGCAAAACAAATTGTAAACTTAACAGAATATTACATTGTCCCAAATGACATTATTACTTTTGAAATTATTATACAATGTAGGTGGGGTCGATTGTTACGTAGACTACTGTACTGTATGGACTGATGGAGCCTGCAGTGTGGGCACAGCGCCAGCATCACCATCTGTGGTGCTTGTTTTGTTGTATGTTTACTCCACATGTTAGCAACAGTGCACAAACAAGGCATCGCTATAACGTTATAATTACCACCAACTTGCAATACCTGTTTATTTCCGTTTCATTACAGATCTCACAGACCTGACGCGTTCCCGGCGTTCACGTTCACAACATTTTGTATTCTTGTTTGTAACCATGTTTCGGTGCCACTTTTGGAGCTTTCATCAGATGGGCGAGTTGGAAAAGTATAAAAACATGAGTGAGTGAGTGAGTGAGTGAGTATGGTTTTACGCCGCTTTTAGCACTATTCCAGCAATAACACGGCGGGGGACACCAGAAATGGGCTTCACACATTGTACCCATGTCGGGAATCGAACCCGGGTCTTCGGCGTGACGAGCGAACGCTTTAACCACTAGGCTACCCGACCGCCCCTATAAAAACATGAAATGTTGTTTGTAAATATAAGCTTCGAATCCATTTCTATAATCTTAAAAATGTCTGCTGAAAGCAAAAGTTCTAATGACAATATCATAATCATGTGTTTATGAATCACTCTCAACTCAGGACAGGTTATCTGCCCTTCCGGTGACACTCATCACAAACACATGCAAAGGCATGACAACTGTTCATCTGTAAAAGAAACCTGGAATGTATTGGCCACTGATGCGTCAAATCTGTTACACCATGTACACGGCGTTATATGGTTACTTCTTGACCTTTCATTTAAGGGGCACTGATCTCTGACAATTCACCGGAACGGGTTGTTGCCTTTGTTGTTGTTTCTCCCCGTGGATATACAGATGATATCCCAGAAATCTCGACTAGTTTGCGAACTGTGCTGCATCAAACGTAAGCGATTTTGTCCCTTTATTGATAGTATAGGGCGTACCGTCACATTGATCAACAAGATACAGTTTTGTTTTGGAATTAATAAGGAAATGTATGTATCTTTGGAGTTTTCTGATCTTGGAGTCTTGGTTGGTGGTGAGGGCTCTGACTTTATCCCACTGAATGCTGTGGCTTGAGTTGTCACGGATATGGTCTGATAGAGCTGATTTAGAGTCACCTTTGGAGACTGAGCTTTGATGTTCGGGTTAGTTCGGGTTTTGACGGGCCTAGATGCTTCTCCTATGTAAGCTTGTCTACAATTGCACGGAATGAGGTACACTCCTCCTGGTGGTTTTAGCTTGTGGCTAGATGGTGGTTTCCTTGTGGCTAGATGGTGGTTTCCTTGTGGCTAAATGGTGGTTTCCTTGTGGCTAGATGGTGGTTTCGTTGTGGCTAGATGGTGGTTTCGTTGTGGCTAGATGGTGGATTCCTTGTGGCTAGATTGTGGTTTCCTTGTGGCTAGATGGTGGTTTCGTTGTGGCTAGATGCAGGTTTCGTTGTGGCTAGAACGTGGTTTCCCTGTGGCTAGATGGTGGTTTCCTTGTGGCTAGATGGTGGTTTCCTTGTGGCTAGATGGTGGTTTCCTTGTGGCTGGATGGTGGTTTCCTTGTGGCTAGATGGTGGTTTCCTTGTGGCTAGATGGTGGTTTCCTTGTGGCTAGATGGTGGTGTCCTTGTGACTCTTATTGTGTTCTGAATGGTGTAAATTCTCCTGAAAACTACATCAATGTTATCCTCTTTCTTTAAGAGTCTCTGGACTTTGT